TTCACAGTGTCATTGTTTTGCATAGATGACCTTTAAAAGAGAACGTCAGTGTAGTGTTGGGAAATAAATTCATTAATTGAAACACTTGCTACTTCATTTAATTAAAATATCACTAACCCCTGGAGTGTAATTAACCTTACTGAAATCTGATTTCTTTAAAATAAAACATGACTAAGTCACTACAAATTCAATGTTGTATACAGCTAATTAAACTGCTCCACTTTACTTCCAGTTTTTTGTTAAGTCTGGATCCAAATACAGTAGTTTAATTTGTTTGACTTTTCAAAAACTCTTTTGAAATCAGATCATTTATATAACAGTCAAATGTCATGTTTAATACTCTATGTTTTCTATTTTGAGGAAGATGTAAAAAATTTTCATAAAATTATTATCCTGAGAATGTCAGGTAATTATTTGTGACTATTCTTTGCTGTGCATTTAGTTTTTAGCTCAGAATATATGATGACATTAAAGCGATCATTTTTATGAAAAGAAAGAATGTCACAATTCTTTTTACATGATATTTTCTCTCGTTAACCTGAAAATTATCTATTTAATTTGAAAATGCACTACTTAATTAACAGAGATGTAATAAACAAAGAGATGTTTACTATTTAAATAAAGAAATGAAGTAATTGTGACAATTAAAGGGAAACTGTATGCTGTATATATTAGAAAATAATTTTTCATTAAAGGATCAGGTATTGTAAACTCTGTCCTTTGAGACTGGCATAACTAATCCTATGAACATCAAGAAGTCACTCAATCATTCTCAGCTATTTTATTTTCTATTACCTGAAGAATTCAGTAAAAGTATTTCTTTTTTCTTTACATATACATGTGTTTTTATATACATACATTGTGTTATACATATACACATATACATGTGTTATTGTTTTAATACAGGTAGTTGTGAGTAACGATCTTCCTAACCCACATTAGGAAGGGAGAGAGGAGAGTGGGGGTCGGAGAATTTTAGTAACCAAACTTTTAATAAATGTCAGTAACCTCTGCAAATATTACTATTTTTATCTAGATAAATTTTAGCACTGATGGACAGATACTACATAAATACAAAAAGGTGAACACAGAGAATATAATTCATTTGCTCATTCAAAAAAGTAATGTTTTATTAGTTTTATTACAGAATCTTTCTTTAATGTCAACACAGCCAGAATTTTAAGGCAAATTTTAAATTTTAAATTCATTTAAAATTTTAAATTATGGATTCTTTAGCCATATTGCTACATAGGAACAGGCTTTTATTTTCTTAGATCTTTTTCCTAATTTTATTTATGTAATTTAAAAAATATTACAATGTGGGCAATATTCACACAAACATTCTGGAATAAACATAGTTTCTTTTCCTTAAAAAAATGTTTGGTAAGTTAAAGAAGCCATTTATATTTTAAAAATGAAAATGTTATATATATATATATATAGCATAGCATCAGTAACTAATCATAAGCAGCTGTCAATTAAAAGTTATGAAGCATACTGTTCACCACTTTGCTTTAATAGACATCACTTTTTATACAGTTCCTTACATTATGTAAATTGTATATGTTTAAATGTTCCCAAATATTACCAGTAAGAATCGGCCCACTTTGTAATTACTACCTACACATCTAGAGTACATTCTGTTGGTAAAGATGAAAAAAACATTCTACAATCAAACATTCTTATTTTAGTCCCTAAAATGTATATCCTAACTTCCAAATTCCAGTCTCTAACATAAGAACTCAACTTTTACGTTATTCTTGTTTTTATTCAATAAGTAATACTTTCTAATGGAATTGATAGACTGAAAATATTAAGGGGTGAATAATATCTTTTCCTCTACTCCCAGTAGTCCTTATATACAATTCTCTCAAATTTCAGAAGAATCCAAATTTAACAAAAGTATAACTGTATGAGGAAATGCTTAGAATGAATCTATTAAAATGCTAATTTTTATTTAAAAACAAATCAAAAGATAACATTTTGATAAAACCTTATGTACTTGTTATATAAAGAAATACTAATATCTCTAAGTTAAATAAGGCTAGAAAAACTTCAAAATTAAGAACTCAATTACACTAAAAATCATTATATCTCAACAAATTAGAAAATATTTTGTTTTCACCCATAACTATAAAATTTACCTTAAAGTACAAAAATATTATTTTTCCATCTATTTATTTATAAATTTCCAATTTGTATAAGCACATTTGCTGGCATTCCTGTAGAGAAACAGTTACTGTTAGTATATCATTGATAAAAATGTAGACTATAGTATCACTTATGTTGAGGGGTTCTAGGGATTTCTACCAATTAAATTTACTTCTTTGTTAATCAGACATTCTTTCAGAAATCTCTCCTAAAGACACACCTACACATATGCTAGAGGATTCAGGTACATGGATGTTCATTAGATTTTTTATGTAATGTCAAATAAAACAATAATAAAATTTAATAAATTGCATTAAATTAACTATAAAGGATGGCTAATTACTCTGGAGAAAATGTTAAAGTACCCTAAAACTCTTTTCCCAGAGAATGTACTGTTTGATGACATTTTTGTTTCAATCACTTCAAATAATTATCACAGCCATTAATATAGCTTCAAAAATTCATACCTCAGGACACATTTTCCTGTGAATTGTCACATTTGATCATTACTAGACACTCTGGTTGGTATAATGATAAAATCTCAAAACCTGCTTCCACAGCTTTCACAGCAGAATCTTACTCAGGAAGTCACAAATACTTCTTATAAATGTCTCATGTTACATATTTTCCACTTTGTGGGCTTTACTTTGTTTCAACTACTCAGTTCTGCCATTGTAGCATTAAGGGAGCCATAGACCTACCTAAATAAGTAAGTGTAGCTATGTTCCAGTAACACACAATTTATAGACAGTGGTAATTGAATTTCACATAAGATGACTTCCTCCCAAATGTATCCACTTGTCCATCAGTGTTGCGAATAATACAGTGTGTAACAATTCCTCAAAATCTGCAGAGCATTGTGAACTTCTACCACCCTCTCATCTGTGAGGAGCTCCCAACCATATGTTGGTTAATATCAATCCTAGAATGCTTTGAATTCATCTTGATTTTAAGGTTTCATCTTTCATTAAACATAGATAGGGAAAATAAGTACATGATTGAACTTTTCCCTCCCTCTTTAACAAGTTTTATTTGTTTTTATTTCGGTAAATCAGAAGAATATGCATAACAAAATATTTTTTGAGACAAAATCTCACTGTATAGTGCAGGCTGGTTTAGCACTCGCATCCTTCCTGCCTCTGTATCCTGAATGAGAGGATTAGGGTTCCAATCCAGCAGGCCCAATTGGCATAACAAAATACTGTACTAATAACCTGTTTCCCTTTTGTTTTATCAAAAAGGTCATATTTTTCTTTTTTAATTTTTTTTTTTACTGTTCAAGAATTGAAAATATTATATAGATAATGTCAAATACGAAGAAAAGGTCCAAAGGGGAAGTAGAGAGGAGGGGTGGGGGAAAGGAAAGAAGGGAAAGAAAAAATATGAGAAAAGAAGGAAAAAGTGGAAACAAAGCTTTCGTAAATATGGAGGGGTGAGTGGAGTGGAAGGGAAGGAAGGGGAATGGGGAAAGATAAGAACAAAGATACATCACTTAAAGGTACAAATTCCCAATGAATGTGATCATGATGTATAACTAAAATGTACCAATAAACTTAATGAATAAAAAAAGAATGGAAAGTATAAAAGAGAAGGATTTTGAAGTTCAAAACAAAAATGAATATTTAGTAATTCAATGTCTTTTAATGATAGTACGTTTGTTTTTATTTATTTCGTTGAACACTTTTCAGTGGGTAAATCATACAGTGAGGAGGAACCTTTGTCTCATGTTGGTATGCATGTGAGAAGACAGGAGAATTGTTTCAGGCCTTTTGTTGCACTCCATATTCTGACTCCATGGCTCCTGTGTTGTGTGGAAAATGCAGCTGCAACTGAGTCCCTGTTGGACAAGGGGTGGAAAAGATGGTTGTGATTTTGCACTGCCTACACATGAGGGAAGCTCTATTGTTTGGATGGAGTACTGCTTTTCAAAGAGTGCTGCTCAAACGAGAGTGAAGAGTCAATCAGAAGGATGGAAGCCACTGAGCCTACAATCACCATGTTTCCACTGCTGTGCTTGTTGTTTTTCCCACAGGTACTGAACAAACCCAAATGCAGCTGCTTGCCAAAACCAGTAATTTATCAGAATTGGGCTTTTCCACTCCCTTCTCTGTTTTAGTGCTTAGAAGACACATGCTTAAGCTCTCCCACTTTGCTGACCACAGAATTTCCTGTATATTTTGATAAATCATTAATTTTTTTTAAGTTAAGAGAAAAGAAACTTGACTGAAATTTCTAATTATTTACTCAATTCATTTTTTGAACCTTTAATCAAAATGTGTACATCTAGTGCATATTTAATTGCTTATATAATGTAGAAACCTTGTTTTGAAAATTAATTTTAAGTATTAGAGAATATCCATGTTCTTTTAAATGCAGACTTGGTACATCTCTGTAACAATTAATACAGACATATTAGATATCATGGTAAAATGTCATTCTCAGCATCATGTGTACTAGCAATAAATAAAAAATTTATCAATAAAGATCAACATAGCAGTGACATAACAAATTATAATTTACTTTCATAGTAATAAAATAGAATTATTTAACTTTTTCCAATTAAGTCATTCTGCTTTATAAGCAAGAAAGGGCACTGCACTGCTAAAGAATATTTAGTTCAACATATATGGAACAAAGTTTAAGGAAGCATAATATAGTCAGTGGTATTCATCTTTTACCCTTGCTCCTATAAGCTCTCCAATAGAAGACACAGCTTTCTATACTGTCCTTCATTTTGTGTTTTTTTGTCTCTTGTACCAAATCTCCCTTCATCTCACTCCACAATTTCTCAGGAGAAGAATAAACAAACTACAGCAAATGAAAACACAGCAAACCAAAACAGGACTTACTTTTCCAACGTATTGCGGATCTGGTCCCATATGTTCTTCTAAAACAAAGAACTGATTCCATACCCATCCCCTTTTGGGGCGGTGGTGGACTTCGGTTTCCCCTTCAGGGTGTTTGGTTTGGTTTCTAGTCACCTTGATGGAGCCTTGGTGAGCAGTCCCATCACACCTCTGCACAAAGCAAAGACACACCAGCACTGGACAGATGCAAGATGTGCTCGTAATTTTCATTGTAAGACAGCTTTCCAGTTCACAGTTGTCCTTCGTTTCCTTGTCAGCTACAAATGCTTAGTGAGCATTCAAGAGAGAAACCAAAGTGTCCTTTGGAAGGACAATCCAAAGTAAATTGTTTCTAGTGTCCATGATTTAACTGCCTGCTTGGGAAAAGTCAGACCACATTTACATCCTGAAGCACTGGAGAATCAAAGCTGGAGTTGTCAGAATTCAAGTCTTCATAGTAGGGGAACACAAGTTACCATTTTTGACCTAATGGGAAAAAAAAGAAAAATTAAATGTACATAAATATAAGACATGTTCATTTTAACTATTTGTTTTCCGTGAAAATTATACTCTTTTGATGCTGATAGGCAAAGAAAATTCTTAAAGAAATTCAAAGATGTCTGCATATGTTTTTTACCTGTGCTTCTCTACCTGTACTGTTGATTCTCAATTCCATACACTCTTCTAGTTTTTGTTTCATATAATACAAATTTATTGCAAATGGTACGCATGAATCACATAGTTTAGGAGTCAATTAACATTCACAAAATACTTCTCAAATATTCTCAGTACCACAATAGCAATCTAAGATGCACTTAAAGTGTTTGATAAATAAAATGAAGAGAAAATAAAAGGAAACAGAGAAGGGGTTAATTGGAAAATACGTATATATTTCACTCAAAATTAATCCAGTCTTTAGGCACAGATAGGTGTAATGGAATAAGAGTGAGAAGGTCAGTTTGCTCTATCATAGCTGGCATGCACTTTGATGTATTCTGCTTATAATACTCTACGGTGCAAACCAGATACAGGTGAGATGGATTTTCAGTCTTGGGAATAACATCATAAGTTTTATTTTTAGTCCACATAATTCTAGCAACTGTGTAAAGAAAGGATGGGAATACTGTAGCAAAACACTGGAGGTAAAACTGCTTTCATTCTACAGATAAGAAATGTTGAGGTTTTGGTATAATTGGACAATAAATTAAAATTTGAAGAATATTTCTAGGAGACAAATAGGAGGCAAGGTTGATCCTCAAATTAGCGGTTTAAACACAATATTTTGGGTGAAATATTGCTGCAATTTCTTCATATCTCTGTTTGAATAAATATTATAAAATGATATCGATTCAAGAATATGGCTATTTTATTTAGAAAAAAAATAGATGAATTATTTCTACATTCATAAATTTTACCCTGTAAATCAGTATAAATTAATGTATGTCTGAATGAATTACAAAGAAATTGATATGAAAACATAATTAATATTAAAACTTTAATAATCAGTAATAATGTAACATATACTTGTATAAAAAGATTTTCTTTAGATTTGGGGATGAAAATGTTACAAGATATTCTACAGT